TGTGTAGGTAAAGATGTCACTTTTATATCAATTGTGACATTATTTTTCAATTGATATATGGATTGAATGTGTTATAAAATAAAGGTAGCTATTCAAGGATGAAGTCAGTGGAAGACAAGCGGGTGATTGTGTCATTTTATCTTGTTAATGGATGGATTGTGTGTTATAAAATAAAAGTGGCGTTTTAGGTAGGACAAGGGGATAACTGGGATATTTTTTCATGTTGATAGATGGATGGATTGTGTGTGTTGCAAAATAAAGGTGGCTATTTATGGACAAAGCCATTGTAGGACAAAGGGGAGTATTAGTAATAGACAACAAGAGGGAACTACCCTCTAAACTTTTGAAAAATATTAAATATAATACATGGGAAATGTGCATATTAGTCTTGATTCCCAAAATAAATTAGAGTCTTAACCTTCAAGTGAGTCATTTTATTTAATTAAAACTCAAGTTAAAATTTAAAATTTATTTTATTAAATGTTAATATCTAGATTTGAAAACTAATTATATTAAAATATATAATTATTTTTCAAATTTAAGTATCAACATTTAATAACGTGAATTTTTGAATTTTAAATTAGGATTTCGATTTTTAAATGGAAGTTGGGATTCTAATTTTTTTTCAAAAATCAGAACTAATACGCATTAATCTCATATATATATTTCAAAAAATTTCTTTTGAAATTTGAATTATTGGGACTATTCAAATATAAAGAAAATATTTAAAATTCGAGTAAAAGGATCATTTCTCTCTTTGTGACTAATTCTTATAAAGTCATGATGATTTTATCTAGATAAAAACGTCATACTAATATCAATTATGGCATTTTTTTGCTATTGATGAAGGAATTGTGTTTGTTATAAAATAAAGGTAAAGGAAGAAACCAATGTAGGACAAGGGGAGTGATTGTGTCATTTTTTCTTGTTAATGGATGGATTATATGTATTATAAAATAAACATAGCTATTAAAGGATGAAGCTAAGGTAAGACTAGGAAGGCAATTGTGTCATTTTTTTTTTTTTTTTTTGTTGATGGATGGATTGTTTGTGTTATAAAATAAAAGTGGATATTCAGGGACAAAGCTAGTGTAGGACAAGAGAGCGATTTTGACATTTTTTCATGTTTATGGATGGATTGTGTGTGTTCTAAAATAAAAGTGGTGATTCATGAACAAAGTTAGTGTAAGATAAGTGGGGTGTACTAATGTAGGAAAATAAAGGTAGCCACTTGTGATATTTTTTCATATTAATGGATGGATTGTGTGTGTTATAAAGTAAAAGTGGCTATTTTGCAATGAAGTTAGTGTAAGACAAGGAGTTGTAGTAGTGTAGGACAATGAGGGTTAGCCCCCTCCCCACCAAACTTTTGAAATAGAAGTCAAATATAATATGTGCACATGTGTATGTAGAATATATTTATATATGTATATGTTTTACTAATTTTTACTTCTAAAGTTTGAATTATTGGGACCATTCAAATATAAAGAAATATTTATGACTTAAGTAAAGGGATCCCTTCTCGCTTTACGACTAATCCTTATAAAAACATGATAATGTTATCTAAGAACAATTTTTTGTTTAAATGTTCACTAAAAGCAAGATAAATTGATGTAATTTATATAAAATTTTATATTGGTTATATATTATTTCTTTATACAATTTATAAAATCATTATGATAAGTTTTTTTGACGTAAGACTCTATAAAGTCAACTTTAATATACACTATTCTATACATATAAAATTTGAAACAATAACTTTCCAAATTTTTATATTTTACTTGGTGTGTAGGCAAAGATATGATGCTTATATTCTTTGACATTTTTTTGCTTTTGATGCTTAGATTGTGTGTGTTATAAAATAGAGGTAGCAACTCAAGGAAAAGCTAGTGAAAGACAAGGGGGTGATTGTGTCGATTTTTTTGTTGATGGATAGATTGTGTGTATTATAAAATAAAAGGTAACTATTCAGGGATAAATCCAGATTAGGACAAGGGAGTGATTTTGTCTCTCTTTTTTTTTTTTTTCCTATTGATGGATGAATTGTGTTTATTATAAAAAAAAGGGTGGCTATTCAAGGATGAAGCCAATGTAGGACAAGAGTATGATTGTGATATTTTTTCATGTTGATGAATAGATTCTGTGTTATAAAATAAATGTAACTATTTAAGGATAAGGCCAGTGTAGGACAAGGGGGATGTACTAGTGTAGGACAACAAAGGTAGCCACACCCCCCAAAACTTTTAAAAAATGTCAAATATGGTACATATTTTTTTCCCAAAAGTTTGCTTTTCAAGTTTGAATTGTTGGGACCATTCAAATATAAAGAAAATATTTATGATTTGAATAAAGGAATAATTTCTCTATTTGTGAATGATATTAATAAAAACATGATAATTTTACCTAGGTAAAACAAATTTAAAAAAATGTAGTCAAAAACTAGTTATATTGATAATTTCTCTATTTGTGAATGATATTAATAAAAACATGATAATTTTAGCTAGGTAAAAACAAATTTAAAAAAATGTAGTCAGAAACTAGTTATATTGATATAACTCATATAAGTTTTTATATTAGTTATATATGTATTTTTTATACAATTTATGTTATCATGATAAGTTTTTTCATTGGTTAGTTGTAGTCATAATGATTTTTTAAATTAGAACTCTATGAAATCGAGATTGATATGTACTATTCTATACGTAAAATTTGGAATAATAACTTTTTAAGTTATTATATTTTACTTAGTGTGTAGGTAGTAATTTCATGTTTATGTTGATTGTGACTTTTTTTTTTTGTTAACACATTGATTGTGTATTATAAAATAAAGGTAGATTTTTAGGAAAGAAGTCAATGTAGGAAAAGGGGTTAATTCTATAATTTTTTTTTTTGATTGATGGATGGATCTTATACACTATAAAATAAAGACAGTTATTTAGGGATGAAGATAGGTTTGTACAAGAGGGTGATTGTGATATTTTTTATATTGATAGATGGATTATGTATGTTATAGAAAAAATGTAGCTATTTAAAGATAAAACTAATGTAGGATAAGGGAGTGTATCAAATATATATATTTTATAAATTTTTGCTTTTGAAGTTTGCTTTTGAGGTCTGAATTATAGGGCCATTCAAATATAAAAAAAGGAAAAATTATTTAAGATTTGAGTAAAGGAATCATTTCTCTATTATTGACTAATTCTTATAATGTCAAATATAGTACATATATATTTAGGATTTGAGTAAAGGAATCATAATTCTATTTGTGAATGATATTTATAAGACATGATAATTTTACCTAGGTAAAAACAAATTAAAAAAAATGTAGTCAACAACTAGTTATATTGATATAACTTATATAAGTTTTTACATTAGTTATATATGTATTTTTTTAGGAAATTGCTATGTTTACCCTCATCTGTTACCCACTCCGTTACACACACTCACTCTCCGTCACTTTCCGTTAACTCTCAAACAACACCCAATCTAGCCCCAAAACCTGTAGTTGCTCTCAATGAAACTTGCAATTTTATCTTCTCATTTTTTTTCTCTCTCTATCCCTCCATCAACACTGGATCTGGACATTTTCCCTCCCAATTTCTCTCTTTTGTTGGGTTGCTGCTAAATCATTCACATAGGCAAATTCGTGATGAAGAGGTACCAAAGTGGAGAAATATTTTACCCAAAATCCATGTTGTACTTGAAGATGCAAAACAGAAGCAAGTAAATAACAAGTTGGTAAAGTTATTTCTTACTGATCGTAGAGACTTGGATTTTGACATGGGGGATATTTGTCACGTCCCAAAACCAGGAGCGAAACAAACGCCATACACTCATGGACAGATCCCACAAATGCACAAAGCTCGAAACTTACAGTGTTCATAATTACCAATTTACATAACTTAAATCTGAAAACTCGGTTAACGTTTAGCTTTCAATTACCAAAAATTTGCTAGTCCAGATGTACAAAAGTTTATAAGATAGTCATGGCTATAACCAAGGGAAACTTAGTATACCAAAAAATGATTTCTCATTTCATATCTATGACAAGCATGTGTGGCTAACAACCTAAGCCCAAAAAGGATCTAAGTCCAAAATACTAACTAGCCGTCTAGCTCGTCACTCCCCCTGGTTAATCGTACCTCAGGTCTCACTTCCTAAAATGATGGACAAGGAAAACTATGAGATAAAATATCTCAGTAAGTAAAAATATATGGATAGCCCGTGAGTAAAATTTAAGCATGCCTGATAAACAATTTAACATAACAAAACGTTCAATGATAAACCGTTAATGCAGAATAAGATTCAGTAGTAGTCTCATCTATAAATCACGGCCAGTGTTTAACAAACTCCCACTGGCAGGTGTCAGTAATAACCAATGTATTAGCCTATTGGCAAGCATCAATAATAACAAATGTATTATCCCATTGGCAGGATTACAGAATGAACCAGTTTTATCAGTAAATATGTCAACATATGCTAGCGTTTACAACTCCCATTAGCGAGCGTCAGTAATCAGTAATCATGACTATATTTGAGACAAAACCATGCAGGATTTACAGGAAAAATCCGTAATTTACAATCTCAATTTCAAGAATAAACGGGAAAAATTCCATGTGGGCATGGATTTAACAGGAAAATTATAATTTACAAAAATTCTCAGATCATCAGGGCAGTTAAGTAAACTCCAAGTAGGCATGCTTTATTCAATGAAAATGATAATAATTCCATTTCAAACCAATCATGTTTGGTGCTAATAAAATCAATTTAAACCTTGTCACCATCTCAAAAACAATTTAAAATATGCTTTTACTTTGAAATTGAAGAGCGTTACCATAATTTACTTATCTCAATTGCATAACACAGAAAATTCACTCCAAGTGCTAGGGTGACAGAACAACCAAGAACCTAACCAAAATATTCCAAAATTAATAACCATATGACCGGACATCTCAATTTTATTCTCAATATAAACTAAACATTTAAATCCTCCTATTGTTGCCGGCCATCAATCCCACAAAAAAATCTTATTTATTTATTTATTTATTTATGCTTATTTTTCTTCTATCCGAAATTTGAGCACAAAAATCAGATTGCACATTTATATATATATACATACCACACATATACAAAATTCTCCAATTCACGGACAACAACATGGAGGAACCGGCTTGACAAAACAATAGCTAATTTCAAGGGATTTTTCTCCAAAACCTCACAGCAGCTAATTAACACTCAACCACATAATTTCTACATGAATTAAGCTTAATTTTGTCCTAATTGCTACCAGAATTTATCCCCTAACTCAGCAGAAATTCGAACAACACAGGGGTAGCAATTAACTGGACTAAATTCAGCAACTAATGGGTAATTTGGGACTTAGAGGGAACTGTCACTTACCAGAAAATTCAGCAAGCAAACCGGAGCTGCAGGTTGGGGGAATCCGGCGGGAATTGAGGGAAAATTTTGGGATCTACCGAAGATCGGAGAAACCAAAAGAAATAAGAGTAAACCCAAGCCAAATCAAGAGAGAAAAGAGGAATTAGTGGTTGTTTCCCTTACCACAAACTTGAAGAATCACACCCACACTAGCCAAGAGCAGCGGACAGAGAGGAAGGAACAGAGTAGATCTGGGATTTTCTGTAGAGGGGAAGATTTCTAAGGTCTAAATCTTGTTCTTGAACAAGAAAGAAGGGAAAAATCAAGCTTTCTTACGGTTCCTCAAGGGGGTGTGTGTGTCGGTGGCTGGGCTTCTTGTTCCGTGCAGGGGAGAAGAAGAAGAGCAGAACGCGCAGCTGAAGAAAGAAGGAAAGAAGAATATAAAAAAATCAGCCGGCCTTATCCAAAATGTTTTCTCTTTTAAGTCCCTCAAATTTGAAAGTTTGATAATTAAGCTCAACAATATTATTTCTCACAATTAAGTCCCTGGCTCACACTTAATTGTTCTAGAAATTTTTGGAGTATTACAATATCCTTGACAAACTAAGAAAAAAAGAGAGCTGGAAGTTTTTGGGTGCTGATTTTTTGAGTTTTCCTCCACCATTTTAGGATTTGGGAGAAGAAAAAAAAGAGAGTTAGAGGTTTTTGGATGCTGATTTTGATTTTTGGGTGTTGATTTTTTGAGTTTTCCTCCTCCATTCTAGGATTTGCGAGAAGAAAAAAAGAGAGCTGGAGGTTTTTGGGTGCTAATTTTTTGAGTTTTCCTCCTTCATTTTGGGATCCGTTGCAGGTTCCAACTTGCTCAACTTCATGCTCTATGCTAGTGAAACTGACGATGATGAAGAAGAGGAAGATAAGGCTGCAAATGATTAAGATGAGGATGGAGGTGAGGAGGAAGATGGATTTGGTGAGGACGATGAGTAGCAAGGAGAAAGGAAAGGAGAGAGAAAGAAAGGGGGCTGGTTGGGTGACTTTGGAGTTAATGGAAAAAGCAATGGACGGACAGTGAATGTGTGTAACGGAGTGTGGGAGATGAGTGTGGATATATCATTGTCCATTTTTTTATACAATTTATATTATCATGATAAGTTTTTTCATGTGTTAAATCTAGTCATAATAATTTTTTAAATTAGAACTCTATAAAATTGAGATTAATATGTACTATTCTATATATAAAATTTGGAATAATGACTTTTTAATTTCTTATAGTTTGCTTGGTGTGTAGGCAGTAACATCATATTTATATCAATTGTGACATTTTTTTCTATTGACACATTCATTGTGTGTTATAAAATAAAGGCAAATATTTAAGAAAGAAGTCAGCGTAGGACAACGGGTTGACTCTATAATTTTTTTTTTCGATTGATGGATGAATTGTGTACACTATAAAATAAAGATAGCTATTTAGAGATGAAGTTAGGTTTGTACGAGAGGGTAATTGTGATATTTTTTATGTTGATGGATGGATTATGTATGTTATAAAAAAAATGTAGCTATTCAAAGATGAAACCAATGTAGGACAAGGGAGCGTACCAAATATATATATATATATATATATTACAAATTTTTGCTTTTGAAGTTTGTTTTTGAGGTTTGAATTGTAGGACCATTCAAATATAAAAAAAGAAAAAATTATTTAAGATTTGAGTAAATGGATCATTTCTCTATTATTAACTAATTCTTATAATAATATGATAATTTTATCTTAGTAAGATCAAATTTGATACAAAAAAAAAAAAGAAAAGAAGAAGGAATAGTCAAGAACTAGTTATATTAATGAAACTTATATAAGTTGTTACATTAGTTATATATAATTATTTTTGTACAATTTATAAAATTGTGGTAATAAATTTTTACATTGGTTAAATTGTAGTCATGATAATTTTTTTTTGAATTAAAACTTAAAAAGCTGTAACTAATGTACATTATTCTATGTATATAATGTTTAAACTTGTGACTTTTCAAGTTGTTATATTTACTTGGTGTGTAGTTAGATTTTTTTTTTTTTTTTATATGCACTATTCTATATATATAT